TACAAGCCAGCATTTCTATTGAACTCCAGCTTTGCCCTGCAATGGCACCCATATCCCCAGCTGGGAACCTCAACTCAGTGCCATCTCTGACTCCTCACGCCAAGGTCAATTAACAATACAATGGGACTGTCCTGAGTTCCCTCCACTGTAAGTTATTTGGCGCAGCTCCATCTTTAGAACCACAAGGCTGGAAGACCTCTGAGGTGTCATCCCAAAACAGTCCCAGCCAACAGTCCCCGGGGTTCATCGAGCTCCAGAGAAGACCCATTCCCTGGAGAAGCCCACTCGGTCTGTAAACAATACTCATGATTAGAAAGGTCTTTGCGTTGAGCCAGAAATCTACCTTCTCATACTTTCTCCCTTTCTTCTTACTCCATCAGTGATAGGAACCACTCTTGAACTAGCTGCCAGGCATGGAGGATACAACAGAAAACAATACCAAGTCCCCTACCCTCATGAAATGTATATTTTAGTGAGAGAGATGGACCATGAAAGACAGATACATTATATAGCCTATCAGAAAATGAGAATTGCTGTTTGTGACCACAAAGACCACGCCTTTGTAGTGTAATTACACAGGACATCTCCTCTTCAATCCCAATATCCCCGCTCTATTTTCCAGCCTATAGGCCATGAGCACTGGACACCCCCGGGAGGACCTGGGTGCTCTTTGATTAGCCGTGGGTCTGTTCCCTCAATAAATGTAGTTACTACAGAAGCCAGCCTGGCCTGCAGAACCCTTCTTCCTAACATCCACTGGAACCGTTACGATATCTCAAAACATTTCCCCCAGTAAACACTTTACAAAGTGTTAATGAGGTGAACCTTCTCATGACTGCAGAGTCTTCATTCTCTTTTCATTGAGCCCACTACTAATGTTATAAGGATACATGCACATTTAGTGGTGAGTCCTGGTGGCCTTTATAAAAAGAGGAGCGGGTTGTTTTCCTCATGGGTCTCACAGTAACTTTGTTTATTTCTTTTGGGCATTTGATTCCTTTATAGGACCCGCCCACCATGTCCTGACCAAATCCCTAGGTGCACCAGTCTGTTCCCATCTTCACTCCAAGGATCTGTGCACTCTATGCCAACATCATAAATAGAACAAACACTAAAATTCAAAAATTCTACGGAGCCCAGAGCACAAAGTGGAAAGGTGAAGAATTCCAGTTGTAATGATGCACCACTCAAAAAGATAATTGTAACAGTACTCAGGTTTAAAGCTTTGGGAATGGCACTGGATGGCACCATCATAGCGTAGGAAATGCTGTATGACATGATGTTAAGTTGGAAGTTTTGAATGAGACACTGAGGTGAAATTTCAGTGGAGTTGCCAGAATACCAAAGTTTCAAATGGATCAGCTAAGAACTGGGCAGGTGGCACACACCTCAGAGATGGAGGGAGGATTTTTGGGAAGAGGATTTCTGTGACAGGAGATGTGCTCTGAGTTCAGGGGGGAGGAGCACAGGGACAAGGCTCACACCACTGCAATGAGTGGGGCCTCAAAAGCGTGTCCTGGGGAGCTCAATAGGGGGCCCCTGGGCTTGGCGGGGCATCACTAGCTGGGATAGACACCCAGCCTCAGGAATCGCCAATCAAGGAGATGGCAAAAGTGAATTGTGCCAACAGAGGGCATTGTAAGCATCAGCCATGCCAAGAAGGCCGGAAGCCATCACACAGCAGTAAGAGCCCAGTTAGAGCGCAGGCCAGTGCAGAGGAGAAGGGAAGTAGACCATGAGCTGGACACGGTGCTGAGGATCTGAGGACAGAGTGAGATATCTGTTACTTTCTTTTTTCTTTTACAAATTGAATTCAAACTGCCCATACTTTAGGGTACCAATGTGAGGGCTTTATTCTTGGCTCTCGAAGTTTCTGTTAGTGTTTGTCTTATCTCATTTTTTGTTTCTTTGTCAGTAATGTTGCCTCTTGATTCCTGGTATCTTTCCCAAACATTGGCAGATACAGTTCGCTTAGATCACTTCACTGTAAACTCTATTCTTTTGAAAAAAAAATAGTGGATCTGAAATTGGACGGCTGATAGATGCAAGTTTGTCTTGAAACTTCACTGGTCAAGCAGTAGCAGAGGGCCTGGTGCTGTAGAAAGACCCAAGGCCAGCATGGTCACAGACAGTCATGGGTCCCTGGCCTCTTTACCTCTGTCCTGACGACAGGACTCCACCAGGCCGTTCCAGCCTTCTCCCCGTTCCCAGGGGGAGCTAAGTAATGAAGCTGCGAGTGTAGAAGACACGGCATGCGGAGAGCCAGCTCCCTGAGATGTTTTCTTATGACTGAACAAAAAACACCTTTGTCTCAAACTTCATTCTCCCTAAGAAAAGCAGCTTAATGTGGTGCATTCAGGGGGAGTCGACGTGAGTTCACATTGGTATAAATAATACATTGGCTTCATCTCACTTGTGTTTCTATAGGGTGTCCCAAAATTCATGCAAGAAGTAATTTTGATAGAAAACACAGATTTATTACTAAAAATTGTAAATTTTTTATTGATTCATAAAGTATACAGTATAGGGTTATGTATGGAATAGAATATAGGATAAACA